ATATTAAATTGAAAACCGTTTTTTCGAAAACCGTTTTTTCCTACTTATTTGTGGTGAAGGAATTGAGTGAAAAAAGGTAAAGTTATATTTTGTTTGATTTAGTAGTGTGCCTACATATATATATATATATTAACATAAGGTTGTGTAATATTAAATTGAAAACCGTTTTTTCGAAAACCGTTTTTTCCTACTTATTTGTGGTGAAGGAATTGAGTGAAAAAAGGTAAAGTTATATTTTGTTTGATTTAGTAGTGTGCCTACATATATATATATATATTAACATAAGGTTGTGTAATATTAAATTGAAAACCGTTTTTTCCTACTTATTTGTGGTGAAGGAATTGAGTGAAAAAAGGTAAAGTTATATTTTGTTTGATTTAGTAGTGTGCCTACATATATATATATATATTAACATAAGGTTGTGTAATATTAAATTGAAAACCGTTTTTTCGAAAGCCGTTTTTTCCTACTTATTTGTGGTGAAGGAATTGAGTGAAAAAAGGTAAAATTATATTTTGTTTGATTTATTAAGTAGTGTGCCTAATTCTAAATGGCAGGCTATATGTGAGTCAAATGATGATCCAAAAAACTATAATAGAAACAAAATTATAAATAATATTTTTTTTTTATCATTTTCTTTGTTATCAAACTTCAAGTGTGAGTAAACAACCCTCTTGTTTTCCTATATGGTTTTATAACAATAGAATAAGCCAACTACAAACCAATGCTTTATCAACCAATTTACATATATGTCAAATGCTGCCATAAAATTTTTTCAGCTCTTTGCATTCTGCACGATAATTTCATTTATAGAATGTCAATTTCATCAAACTATGGATTAATTTGTTTATATCAGAAAGTTTGAATAATTTCATAACAAAACAACCCAATTTTACTAGGATATGTCAATGTACAACGCCATTATGATTTTTGTAAATGTGGTGAAAAATTTTAGTTTTCAAAATTGCCACAACATCAAATACATATTGTCTGATACACAACATCATTGTCATTGAGTGTTAATTATAGAACTCCAAATTACTAATGGAAAAAATTTATAAACCGAAGTTTATGCAAAAGAACTCTAAAATTATAAAACTCGATGGCCCATGAAAGTGTAACCTGTTAACAGACAAAAAAATTACATTAATATATGAAAAAGTAAATTACACAACTCTTTACAAAATTTTATTTAACAGCTAACCAATAATCTTTTATTAACTAATCCTTGTGTTGACACATCCAATGATGATACTGTTTGCATATCACAATGTCGATCAATATCCTTTAACTGAGCATACAAAAGAAAATTAATTATAGAGAAACTACAACATTTTTTTTTACTTAAAAAAACTAAATATATGAATTCATTATACTTCTAACTTGTCATTTGATTTTTCAACATACAACTAATCTTGTAAGATTTCCTCAACTTGGGGTGATTGATCAAATTGAGTTTTGGTAATCTTCTCTTTCATCTTACCACAAGCTATTGTGCTCATTGTGTCTGCATTTTCTACAATGTAAAGCCTTCGTTGACCTGCTTAAGCTTCTCTTTTGTGAATCATTTGGTTGTTCATCTAAACCTCTTCTTAACTTTAGTGGTCGGCTCTTCTTAGGTTTATTATGTTTTAGTGGTAAGAGATGTGTTTTATTACTTTTAGGCCATTCATCAGGACCATTGATAGCCATAATGTTGATCTCATAAGTTCTTTTATGCATAACAATAATATAATAATTAGGGATAAAATATTCATGGTAAGAAATGTCCAAATGAATAAACAATTAGGCTTCCTGCAAATAGTTTTGCACCTTTTCTCATTTTTTAAGAACTTTATGCTGTTTTCCTCAACAATTGACCGATTTTGAACAAATTTTTAAAATTCATCTTTAATACTAAATAATATTTCCACTTTAAGATCATAATTTTGAAACTCTGGCATAGGATTGACAATTGGTCACTTACTTTCGTCTTTGCCGCTGTTATGAACACTGACTTCATCATTGAAATTCATATAGTCGTTATTATAACATTTTCTTTCCAAGCTTTCGTTTAAAATTTGAATGCATCTTTCACTCTTCTTCTTATCTTTATTTGTTATACCTGTGAATTTAATATAATGATCAAGTTGTTTTCAAATAACTCATCATTTTCATGAATGTCATTAGTCACAGTGTATAAACTCTTCACAATCATCTAAAACATTATACTCAAAGTCTTGATCATCATCATAAGAATTATATATCCCATTTAACTCTATATATTTATCCTTGTCTTCAAAATTTTTTAGTTCAACTTCCTTCATTTCACTTAACTAACTAAAGAGTTGTGAAATAATATGTTTCATCAAGCCATTCAGATATAATTTCATTTAGTTTAACATTTCAGTGACATTCCCTATAAGAAACAATTTTCTTAATTTTATGGCATTCATTTGTTGAATTAAAAAAAAAATGCTGAAATAAGCCATACATATGCTCAGCATCAATGGACCAATATTCTTGTCGCTTCATCTATTTAATCTTTTTTTGAATAGACCACCACTTCTTGTTTGAACATTGATAAACATCACAATTTAAATGCTCTTAAACGAAAGAAGGAAGCATTTCAGTTACATTGAATTAATCTATTAAATCTAAAACACAGAACAAAAATAAATGTCAAAATACACATGTACAAAGTGCAGTCCTTGAATTGAGTTTAAATGAATACACAAAACTTAATTTGTGTGGAAAGGATTGTACATAATTATGTACAACATAAAAATGAAAATTTTTTTCTAGATTTGATATATATATATATATATATTTTTCTATATTTTATATATATATATATATATATATATATATAGATGTACAACATCATAATTAAAGAACAAGCAAAAAAAAGGGTCACTTACATACATACCACCAAATTCTCTTGTATTTACATATCTAACGCCTAAAATTTGTTTTGTTACATTTATATCACCCATAGAAGGATCATTTACATATATACCACTTAATTACTATGTATTTATATGTATGACTCTTAAACTTTGCTTTTTAACTCCAAAAAAACCAAACAACCGTAAATACTGCTAAAATCCGATTAAAACTAAACAGCCCTAAATGCTGCAAAATCAAAATCCCATTTCTCTGCCTTTCTCTTTCCTTAAATCTGATTAAATCCAAAAAATGTGGTGAAGAGAAAGAAGAAAGTACCTTTTTTTTTTTTGACAAATTACTCCCCTCCACAAACTACAGTGCCGCCTCTACCTATTCCAGCTTCATTTTCTTTGAGTCCAACCGACGAAGGTTGAAGCCATTTCAAATACCAACTCACACATGACCACTTTGAACCGACGGAACACCCGCACGAAGACAACGCAACACCCGTACAAAGAAGCGGAAAGTATAGGAAGGGCCCTACGCAGCTTGGACACCAACCCTACACCTTCACTCTCTCTCCTTCGCCTCGCAGCCGAAGACGCAATCCCGCAAGAAGTTTTTATTGCCAATGAAGCTGAATAAAGAAGTTACACATGTCGAGCAGGGAAAGTTTACAATATCTTTAGAATGCTCCAGATTCCAAACCGGATCAATTGAAGTCTGGGGCTTAAATTAGTGAATAGATTGAGCAGATTGATTTACCCTTCAATTCATGTGTTATCATTAAGTTTAATGGAAAATATGATTTAGGACCAATTTGGAGTAATTTTTAATAGTTTGAGACTAAATTGGAACGTTTTAAAACTCTGGAACTAAATTGGACACTTCTTAATAATCGAGAAACTATTTTTGGCTTTTATTCTAATTTCATAACTCATTAATGAATGCGATCCAACTGGAATGTTGTCAAGCTGTATCAGTACTCTAGGCAATTAGACTAAAGGTTATACTTTCAGCTAGTTAAACTTAACTAGCAGGTTTGGACAGTAACATTAGTGGAGAAAAAGGGATTATGATAAAGACTTGCAACTTCACCATTATTCATAATTTTTACCTTTTAGGTAGTTAAGGTGATAATGCTTATATACTCATGGTTTCACAAGACCGATCACATCTTATTGCTTACAAAAACTTTTCACTTATAAATTGTCGAAGTGTTTATGCTTATTAGGATATGATTTTATAATAAAGGTTTGCGACTTCACTATTATTAATTATTTTTTCTTTTTAACTTATCAAAGTGTTTATGATTGTAATGGCTTGTTATAATAGTTTCATTTGGTTGTTTGGCTTCTACTATGCCTAGGCGTAGTTGAATATCAAATGTCTGTAAAACCTATAAGTCTTAACGCTTTTCTATATACTAGATGGTTCCTTATTCTTGGACTGAAAATTCCTTACTAATATATTGGTTCTTGGCTACTAATTAATTTATTAAAGTGTATGTTATAAACTTCATTTTTCAAAAAATTTTGCTGAATGCTCTTTTCTTTAACATATTCTGAATAGTACTATGGTTCCATCGTTTAACCTGCCAACTTTATGGGCCATAGTTTCCAAATGGCTGTCTCTGCAGTTGATTATGGAATACTTACTTTGTGGTTCATAGTGCTTGTGCTTTGGAGGACCAACTATGATGACGCCTTCTTCCCTTTATTGTGCAACTTCAAGTGTATATCATAAGCAGCGTTTCAACTTTCATTTTGGCTAAAAATGTGCGTCCATAACATTCTATAGCATAGCTAGTTTGTTGCATCGAAATTGCAGGGGCGAGATCGCATAAAAGTTCACTTCATAATTTCTTTATTCCAGTGATTGTGAAGTAAACATTGCAGAGGGAGGATTGCACAAATATTCACATCATAATTTCTTCATCAGAGTGATTGTGACCTTTTCTGCAATTATTGTTTTGTTTAAGAACATTTTTTTCTCGTAATAAATTATTCAATACTTCTTTTTCTTTCCCTGCCTTGCAGTTATTATGATTATCTTTTTGGTTTGTATTTCTAAAATTCATGATAATTCCCTTGGACCTACTATTGATCTGTGTATTTGTTCATCATCAAAAGTTCAACATGAACATGCAACAAGGTATTCAGTCAAGAACTTCTGCCAATGGGTTCAACCGGCGCAGGTTTGATAGAGAAGGAGCAAGGATGGAGAATAAGATGCATCCAGGAAAGTCAGGTTCCAACAATTTTGCAAGTACTTGTTTCCCTTGGAGTTATTATTAATCTCTTGGTCTTACCATTGCGGCTAATAATCTTGTTTCATATTAGTGAATGGAAGCAAGAGTGTACCTGCTAACAGTCCTTCATCTGATCGCTTGATCTATGTTTCTTCCTGCCTTATTGGTCTCCATGTTGAAGTTCATGTGAAAAATGGATCGGTATTCTCTGGGATTTTTTGTTCGGTGAATGCCAAAGATTTTGGTATACATCACATCTTGTTGTGTATGCTTCATTAAATTTTAATTTAGTAGTACTGTTTTTAACATACTTATGGTCTTCATTTCCATTTGTAATTCAACTTACGTTAAAACTGTACCCAACTTATGTTGACTTTTATGCTTTATTTTGCAGGAATTGTTCTCAAAATGGCTAAACTTATTAAGGATGGTTCTGTCAGAGGACAGAAGAGTGCACCAGAAGCACATAAGAAGCCTCAAACTATAATCATACCGGCTAGAGAGTTTGTTCAAATTATAGCTAAGGTTCCAATTCATTTTTATTATTAATTTATGCTAGTCTGGGTCGTACTATTGTCATGTACCTATTTTGAGTTGTAGAAGTATGATTTTGTTAAAATAATTTTTAGTTTTCTTGTTATTATGAACTTTTTGATGTTGGCTGTAAATCTTATCTTTAGATGGTCAAGTCAGGACTTAATTTTGGTTGATTTCAGGATGTTCCGTTAGCTAGTGATGAGTTCTCAACTGCCAATGCACGGGAAAAGAGAAAAGACCTCATGATAGATTCTGCTATTTCCCATTCTCATAATGTTGAAGTAGAGAGGGAACTGCAGCGCTGGACTCCTGATGTGGATGATCCCGAATGCCCTGAACTAGCCAACATATTTGATGGATCCTGGAATAGGTTGGTGACTTATGCATCAGGAAGCTTTATTTTGTTCCATCTGCTTTAGCTTTGTCTTGGAAATTACTGTCCACAGTGGCAGAACTTAGATTTCGGAGGTGGTGAAAAGCATTTATCGGAAGTATTTTTTTTGGGGCATGTTATACATAGCTAAATTTTGATTGAGGCGAATCTTTCTTTTGGTATATAAGATATTGAAGGATTTATCATAAATCTAGTGGGGATGAGGCCCGTCCCAACCATGCATGATTCAACTTTGTATGTTGGCTTTTATGCCCTTGGTCTTGTACTTGGTAATTCTCTGCTCATCTCAAGCATTTGAGCAACACTGAAGACTGGATAAGTCACTTCTATTTTCTACATTTGCACTCAGTAAGCTGGCAAAAACAATGCCACATCGTTTAGTTGCTCTAGTTTAATCAAGAAGAGTAGATCCGTGTATTGCTCTCTTCTATTTCACATTTATGGAGATTTTATTTTATTTTATTTTTAATTTTAAAGGTTATGGAATTTTATTACTAGGTAGTGAGCGGATTACATGAACTAGCTGTCACAAAAATGACTATAAATAGCAAAATAATAAAAAAACATTGGATAACATTACTTAGAAGCCATGATTTTATTTTGAAGAGAGAAACTAACCCATATTTAAACATCTATTAAGTCCAGAATGCTGTTAATCATCAGTAAAGTTATTACATCAAGCTTTAAATCTGGCAAATCTATGGGGTTGAAGAATATTTTTTCCTGATTTGTGCCTCAATAGGCTAATAGATTGCCTTACTAGATATGGCTCTTGAAGTATTCATAGACCGAATGACCATGATTTTAATAGCTAATATGGAGCAGGTGGGCTATTGATATTACAACAAACCAATAAGAGAGGAAAACACTAACTCAAAAGAGGAATCTGGAAGGTGGGGGGGGGGGGGGGGGGGGGGGTGTTGAATTTTGGCTAACATGTTCATGTTATACATAGCTAAAAGTTAATTGAGGCAAAACTTTCTTTTTTTTTATAAGATATTGAAGGATTTATCGTAGTTTTAGTGGGGATGAGGCCCATCCCAAACATGTTAGTTTTTATGCCCTTGGTTTTGTACTTGTTAATTCTCTGCTCATCTTAAGCATTTGAGTGGCAACACTGAAGACTACACAAGTCACTTGTGCACTATACTCTCTACATTTGCACTCAGTAAGCTGGCAAGAGCACAGTCACATCCTTTAGTTGCTCTAGTTTAATCGAGAAGGGTAGATGTGTGTATTGCCCTCTTCTATTTCACATTTATGGAGATTTTATTTTATTTTTTAATTTTTGAAGATTATGGAATTTTATTACTAGGTAGTGAGAGGGTTACAGGAACTAGCTGTCACAAAAATGACAATATAAATATATAAAAAAAAATTTGTGTTGTATCATTCCTTTTTACCATCTCTACTACTTCTCCCCCCTCCAGCAATTGCTGACCTCCCTATTCTTTATTTCTGCACCCACCCACCCTTCCCCCAATGACTTACTCTTGCTTTCCAGCTCCCTGGGTGTCACCCCAGCCTTCAACTGTCCTGTCCCTACAACTCAACATTGCTGTGCCCCTCCCCAGCCTTCACTAGCCCCGGTCACCGCTGTTCTGCTGTAAAACCTGCTGCCCAACCCTCCATCATTGATGTTCCTATAGTTTCGCACCTTCCTCTCGCTCACACCAGCATTCTTTTGTGCCTACCAACCATCCCGACCAACCTAGCCGACCTCCACCGCTCTTGGAATACACCTTAGAGGTGGTTTGCTTGTGTCGTTCACGTTTTGTGTTGTAACCCTCTCTCCACATTAATAAAGGTTTGCTTGTGTGTTTCCGCTATTTTTCCCACTTGGTCCGGTACCGTTGACACATAGTGTCTTGTAAATATGCTTTCTCATCTTCATCAATTATTTACTTTCATTGTCAGCAATAAAGTGGACTATTAGATGCTTTCCAATTTCATCTACAACTCCATCAATTACTTTGAAAATAAAATTTGTATCCTTCACTTGATTTATGCTTCAATGGACTTTAATGATTGTTTATACAATCTTATGACTTGTTTGCAACTCTAATTTATGTCCAACTTCTCATAATTTTCTCAATAAATTTCTCGATTTTATTCAGTTTCTCATTCAATATCTAAGTTTTAAATTCATATATCGGCGTATGCTCTCAATCATCGGAATTTATAGAAATGTATCATGTTGATATATGATGATGAAGAAGTTGCCATTTTAAATGAACTTGTATTATCAAAGAAGAATATTCCATTCTCCATACAAACATGCTTGTGAGATTCTTGTATTTAGTGGAGACATTCAATGAGTAACCCTCGCATCATGTTTGTTGCATCCTCCAGATTTTTCATATATTGATTTATAGGTTCTATTGCACCTTTATTGAGCATTTGTGGCAGTGGAGCAGAAGAATCTTTATTGATGGGCCTACTATCATAGTATGAGTAAATATTAACTCTTATCATTAGATTGTCAATGGTAAATGCATAAACATGGCCACTTTATTCATTTAAGCTTGATGTCTTCTTTCACTTCTTCAGATACTTAAATACATGGTGCTATGATTTTATGAAAATAATTTTTCATTCTTGCTACACCCATTTTACTATTTTATCACATTTATTGCATTTTAGTTAAATGTAGTCTTCTCACTTGCGGTAATTTAGACTTAACAATTGTGCTTTCATTATAGTTTTTTCTATTTCTCATTGAGCTCTTTTTTTAACATCTAACCCTTTGAAAGTAACCCTAAATTAAAGACAGGCAACCAATAAAAAAGGTAATAAACAAAAGGAAAAAAAACTAATAGTAAACAAGAAGGGCTATTGGAAACGAGAAAAATATGGAGATGTAGCAGCAACAATGACATATCTGTTGCGTTGTAGGTTTGGGAAGCCATTATGATATGAGTATTGTTTTCCTTGTTCATGGTAAAGGAAATTATGGCTATTTTCACAAGAAAAAGATAGAGAAGAAAAGTAGTGCAACAATGCATTGATGAAAGATTTACTAATGGGAATAATATGCAACAATGGAATGATAAAAGCTACAAAAATGAAAAATGTTTGTAGCAATGCAGCAATGAAGATTCTAGTTATGGTAAAATTTGAGAAACAAGAGTACAACAATGAAGATTGGAGAATTTTGATAACACAATAACGCCTAGGGTTTTTTTACCACAACAATTGGAGAGAATTGATTTTGTGCACCTAATTTAAGCATTTTCAGAATTTATGCATTTAAGGAAGGTGGCTAATAGTAAAAAAAATGAAATAAGTGTATATACTTAATTTTAAAATTATTATAATTATCCATGGATTGATGAGTAGGAAGTATGAATCCCACATATTAATAAGGTGGTAGCTAATAGTCCATGGCTTTGATAACACATAAAAAATCGGAGAGAATTGATTTTGTACAATTCATTCCAATATTTTTAGAATTTAAACAATTTTAGGAGGCAGCAAATGGTAAAAATATGAAGGGAAATTTGAAGTAAGGGAATATAGTCTATTATAAATAATTATAATAATCCATTGATTGATGCGTAGGAAGTATGAATCTCACAGATTACTATGCTGGTCGCCAAAAAGAAGGAAAAATGCGGAAGTCCTGGTAAATGTGGGTCTCAATTTGCAAAAGTCGGCATTTCACATAGTTTTTGCCTTATATATACATGCAAATAGTAAAATGAAGTGTTTTGTGTTCCATGTTTTGTATTTTACCATCATTAGCTCTTGTTTTAGTCACCTATTCAACTTTGCTTGATGCTTATGGAAACTTATACCTTGACAAACACATGCAATACAAAATTTGTAAACCATTGTTAGTAAAGGTTTTTATGAACACTTTGTTGTATCATTCTCCCCCATTCCCTTCCACTTGAAATGCACATGATTGGTTTAACCTCAATCAAAAAGGTAATCTATAGAAATACTTTTATGAAGTTTATGCGATCAATAGGAAGTTTTGTAAGTCAATATTTTTTTCACTACATGAAAATATGGTTGACAAATGCCTCAACTGATGGACTGTGATAAATTCAATCAGATCATTGTTTCTACTGCAGTGACTGGGCCTCAATGTGAGATTTGCATCAAAGATGATTGAGACTCCATTTTGTGCTTATAAAGGCTAAAAAATGAAGCTCTTATTTTGTCCCCTTGTCCCTATAATATGGGCCTAAAAAGATGAAAAATCTCCTCAATGCTGTAAGAACTACTTTTATGGTATGGCTTTTGATGAGACTGAATATGAAAGTGGCTACCAAACTGAAGATAACTTCATTAATTTTTTATTTATATATTTATTTGTCAATTGGCTTATTGATTGATCTAGTATTGCCATTGTTTTAAGCTCAATGATTCTAGTTATATAGGTATACCATGCTTCACCTTTATGGATGTTTATAATCTCTTTTACAACCTGGTTGTGATTAATTTCCTTGTGATAGTACCTTTTTTTAGATGATAATTCTAAGGGGTAATAAGGTGGTTTACAATTTAACGCACTTGGAATTTTTATTATGGTTTAGAAAAAACTAAATTTAGTCTGAGATGCTTATTCCAATTGACATAACCGAAGAAGGATTCATAAAGCTGACCTTAAATAAAAATAATTAAGGGGGAATTGATGAAAGGTGCATACAACTGAACCAACGGTTGCTCAAAGGATCAAAAGCAGATTTCAACGAAGGATTCATAATGCATAGAATTATTTGCCATGGCCAAAGAAGAAGAAAATTGATAATTGATTGGACTAGGCTGTGACAATTTAATTTCTTGAAGAACTTCATCATGCATGCTTTTTGATTCATCACTTAATTTTCATTAATCATTCTATTTTTATGTTAGTCTTCTTATCATGTGACTAATATTTTGTTCACTTAATGTCAAGAAAATGAAAAATATGAGTTTTTTTCTTGGTAGTTTAGTAACGGGAATTAACACAACTATTGCTTCCTTGCTGTTTGTGCTTTTGTCATCTTTCTTCTTTCTATATGATGACATTTTCCATTTTTATGCAAATATGTTAGGATCTAGTATTCACCTTGTTTTTCCCAAATTACCTTTTGGTTAAGGGTTCTCAATAACCTCTTTATTATGTGGTCTTTTTTTTCACTTTAGTTAGTTTGAGCTATTCTGCCTTAAGTCAAGGCACATAATTCAGGTAAACCTTTCAAGGCACTTGACCAAAAGTACCCTTTATTTCCCTTACAATTGTTGCATTCCACGCCTTCTTTTTCCGGATCATGCCAATACACCAATGGTCAGATACAAAGATTGACATTTTATCATTCTATGAAGGAATTGGAATCAGTTTGAAATAAATGAGACACTATTTGGAGTGAAGAGCACATTTAATGAGGAACTTTACACAACAAAGCTTGTGAGAGGCCCTCAGATGAGAGAGATTGAACGGGAGGCTTCTAGAATTGCTAGAGAAATAGAAGGGGAGGAAACTCACGACCGTCATTTGGCTGAGGTGCTTTCCAGTTACTCTGAAATTTCTTCTTAGTTATATTTCTTAAGCATGAAGTTATTCACCTTTTAGTGCTGTTATTAATTTACAGGAAAGGGGAATGCATTTTCCTGACATTGATGAGGAAAGTAAATACTCAGCTGTACATAGGCAAATTGATGATGGCAGTTTAGAAGAAAATGATGATGTGTCCTCAGATTCTCTTAATGCTGAAACTTTTGGTGGGTCTATCAGTTCTGAAATACCCACATCATATTCAACCATCTCCTGGGAGAAAAAGTATGATGAAGGAAAATTTTCATCACCCTATTCATCTGTGGTATGTTTTGCACGTCTGTAATCAATTTTCTTTTAAAAGGTCCATATTCTTCTCGATTGAGACATTCCAAATGTTTAAGAACTTGACTCTAGATTTTTGAATAGATATTCTCTAACAAATTCATTATTAAACTAGGGGTTTTATAACCTTTGGTATGCAATCAGCATAGCTAAATAAACTCAAGCCTTTTGACTAGTTGCATCTTCTTTTTTTCCATGAGAAAGCTTCATTTCAGGAATATTCTTGACGCATTGACTAAGTGGAATAGGATAACTTCTTTTTAATTATTCAGTTTTCATGTATTCTGACAGCACTGAATGCCTTGTGTAACTAGCTTATCGAAATTGAAGAAGAGAGATGTCATTCTGCAGTCATTTAGTTTTTAAGGTTTTTCTTATGCTGATTGTTATTGTTCCTGATGTTTTAGTATTACCAGGGAGCATCTTGACGCGGGGGCTATGGTGACCGACCGTTTCTCAACTGCTCCTCCCTTTTCCTTCTCTCCCCTTCCCCTCTTTCCTTCTTAGCACTTTCCTAACATAAGTCTTTCCAAATTAAAATTTCTGAATATTTTTATTCCTCTTTCCTAAATGTTAATTTCCATTTAATCCCGTTCCTTTCGTTTCTTCCTAGCACTTTCCTATTTTAGTTGATTTCGTAAAATTTGAAATTCTGATTATATTTTCTTTTCTTATTTTAAATCCTATCTTATTTTAAATACTTTCCTAAAATTTAATAACCTGATTATATTTTATTCTCTTATATTTTCATTACCTAAAATTAGTCTAGCCTTTTTATAATTTGGGGATCATGTGCTTGGAGTAAGGTTTCTGGTTTTGATATTTTTATTCAGGTTTTTTTGCCTTGATATTTTCCCTTTGAGGGCTGTATTCGACGTCAAGGTAGTGCTCCAGCTGTCCCTCATCTGAGGTGGTGATCGTCTCCACGGGTCAGGGTGGTGCTCCGGCTCTAGCTTGCTAGTGATGAGATACTTATCTATCATTCCACACTTCCTGCTATTGTTCACCCGCTTTCCAGCCCTACAACATGCCACCATACCTCTTCCCCAACAATCACCGGCTGCTGTCCTCCCTCCAACCTGCTGCCATCCTTCTCCCAACAAGGCCGCAACTCCTCATGCTTCATCCCAACACTCAACCGCCCTTCCTGAGCAACCTAATTTTGCTGTCCACCTCCTCAGAATTCCTCCCAACACTCAGCCGTCTTCCCAGCTTGCTGCCCCACCTTCCCAGCTTGCTGCCCCACCTTCCCAGCTTGTTGCCCTACCTTCCAACCTACCTCTTAGCTGCCCAGCAAACCTTCCCACCACCTTACCCTGTCCCCTTCTTCCATTAGTTCTTCTTCCAACCCCTACTGTCCCCTCTACTACATTCACACTTGTCATCTCCAAGCTTCCAGATCCTCTAGGCCAACCTCCACTATCCTTGGGATACACTTTCGAGGTGTTAGCTTGTTTCTTTGTATTTCTTTGTATTGTTTCTTTGTATTTTTTTGTCATTTATTTCATGTTTTGAAGAGTCGTTGTAACTGATTTCAAAGTCAATAATAATATTTGCATTTCTTTTTTGGGTTGGGCTTTCTCCTCTGGTATCATTTGGTATCAGAGCTCGCCTAACCCTAGTCCCATCCTTAGATTTCTAGCCTCCACCCCTACCCAATCCACCACACCAATTTTTTTCTATTCTTTCTTTTGTGTATTTTTTTTTCTCATCTTTCTTTCCTTCCACAGTTCCCAAAATTGTCAACTATGCCGCTAAGAAGGAATATGCCCGAGCCTACCCGAGAAGTGATACGGTGAGAACTTCATCGTCTCCAACAGAGGCTTATAGAAATTGAAGAGAAAATCCAGTGGGAAGTTATCCTTGACCGTAATCTGGAAGGTCGAAGAGAAGAATGAGAAAATATGAAGATGAAGTGGGAAACACAACATCATTTTTTACTAACTTACTACTATCAAAAGTTGCAGACTCTAGCTTCCGAAGTGGAGAGACCGCATCATCATGCGACCCCCTTGCTACTATCTAGCAAAATCAATTCGGAAGCCTGTTACTGTAAGAAGATGTTGCATGTGCTGTGGATTTGGCATGTTAAAGCAGAATGCATGATCATGGGAGTGCTCTACTTCACTGAGCAGAATGCCATTGAAAAGTAAAGATGCCGCAGAAACTAAAGAGCAGTTTGAAAGACAATTTTCATTTGATGACGTCTTTCCCCATGGAACTCCCTTGTTCGTGGGTGCATCCAATACCGATTTCAAATTTTTGTTCAACTTTCTTTTTGTTTGTTTGTCGTTTAATTCATATTTTGAAGAGTCATTGTTTCTTTTGCGATTTGTGCTTTCTCCTTCGGTATCGCATCTAGACTAATGCTAATCACGATGATTCATATTTTGGTGCTTAAAAGGAAATATTTCATTATGGTTTCCTTAAATATAAAATGATTGGACATCTCAAGGCAAAGAAGTTTACTATTTCTTCCTTGTACATTGTGTTAAGTAGATACAGATACTAAGAGGGGAAACTTAATTCTTCATAGATTTACAGTTTTATTTTTTTTTTGTAATTTCTTTTTTCATTAGTGCTGATGTTTAATACCTGTGGGTATGAGTCTTGGTTTTAATGTCTTCATTATTATCATTAGATGTATCCAATTTTTTTGGGTTTCATGTTTCGAGTCTTCATTTTCTATTCATTCCTTTTGAGTATTATCTGAGATATAAGGGAGGCAATGTTAAGCATTGTCCTCACCTTAAAACCAAAATAGGGTTTTTTTTAAGTTGGCTGAACTCCTATAGGTTAGTTAGTATAGTGTTGCAGATGAGGATTTAACCAATTTTTTAATTTAATTCCCTTTTGACAATAGTAATTAGACATAAAACATCTATTCTTGATCAACTTATATTATATATGAAATCATGTCTAATTGAGGATGTGCAGGAGTTTAGTGAGATTTTTCTAGTGTCAAATAAATATTTATTTTTGTTTGAACCATGTTTTCTTTTGTTTACGCTGCAGGATGAGGAGATATTATCTACATCTACTTCTGATAAAGATGCAAATAACTCTGCTATCAACAAGCATTCTAGTTCATCCACGTCTGATGATGCAAAGAAGGGCATAAATGCTGATGAATCCAGCAGGTTGTTCTTGTTGATTAAATTTCATGGACTATTTCTGCATGTTTAATGGTTTTGCATTCATGAACCGAGAAAGAAGATAGTTTATCTTTTGCCAGTGCTGATTTTTGACCTTCTGCAGCGCGGGTCATCTGTGTACTGACAAGCCAGTCCAAGATAAGAATGAAAACAAATCTTCCTTGCTTGAGAAATCTAGTAAGGTAATGATTGATCTGGAAAAGCAACATTCTTCTTTTAGGATTAAATATTTTTCTTGATAGATCTTTAGTTCTCTTTTGATTTGATTTATTTTTCTTACTCAGGTTTTCAGGGAAGTTCATAAAAGCAAAGGAGATGGTTAGTGGTTAAGATTTCTCTTTTGTTGAATTCGTTTGTTTTAATTTTGCTTGAACTAAGCCTTTTTCTCTTGTTTCCGTTTTAGTTTAGGCTAAAGTTTTTTTGTGGATTGAAGGAGGGTATTTTCCCTCCATGAGGACTTTAATTCTATTTATAGTACCAGTAGCTTGTTTTTGGATCAACATGTAAACCTCGGAAGTTTTGGAACTGCATATTTGCAAGACAAATTTGACACTTTGTTTTCAATAAAATTTTCTTTCTTGATGCAGATGTTTCAAATGTAAGAATCATGTCTCACATAGATAGGATTATTTAATTATTTCTCAGTGCCTTTGTAAATCTCCGTCACATGCTAGATAGTTTTTCTTTTCCTTCATTTTCTTTCTTCAGCTAAACTCTCTATTTCTATTTAGAAAGCATAAGTTTTATTTTCTAAAAGTGAGTTGCTATTTAAAAATGGATCAATTTCTACTATACTTCATCATGTTGTTAGATTGACACCTATGATTTTTTTGTCATGCTTAGCTTGTCAAATAGTTTGAAGACTTATTTGAGGTGGATGGTTAATAGGACAATTTAGTCAATTGTTAGTTATTATTATTTTAGGTCATGTGATTGTTTTCTATAATATTAGGAGTTATAGTTTGGGAGAGACGCCTTCCTTTCGAATTGTAGGCCTATTTTTTATGTATTTGGGATTCATTGTTTTTTGGTATTGGTGCAATAGAATATATTATTTCTTCTTTATTTCTGCAAAAAACATATCACACTCTTATAAAATGGGTATGTTCAGGGTTGTACCTGTGAGTAATGGAGACCAAGAAGGTTGATGTTTTAGAGGAGAAATTAGAGGGAGAGATGAGCCAAATCAGATTGATAATAGAGAAGTGTTTCCATGGAGGGATAGTTCTCATCCATAGCGGGGCAGTTCACGGCCCTAAAACAAATGATGACTAGGGTTTGAAGCGAACTCAAACTGCAGCCATAAGAAGGTATTGCATGACATCATGAGGCCTGGAATGAGCGGAAGCTTTTGAATGACCTGCAATTCTAGGATGGAGAAGATTGATTCAAAGAAATTTGGCCTTTGAGAGGGTTTGCACGACATCCATAGGGCTGGAGCAAGCCACAATATGTTATATGGGATGGTGGTTTGTGGTTTGAGGCTGGGAAGATCTGTTCTAAGGATTTTGGCCTTGAATTAGGAATCACAATGAGTGGGACCCTGATCGAGGGATGCATCCAACCGTCCCAGGGCCTTTTGTTGGTACCATCGTTGCAGCCTTTCAGCGGAAGCTGATTCGAGGCATATGAGGAAGGACAGGCTGATTGTGGGGTGTGTCGGGCTTATGGAAGAAGTAAAATCAATATGGACCGTGGAGGGGAACCTAACCACCACTTCATGAGTATAACTAGCTTTGGTTGAGCAAATTGGGGCGGATGCTTACACACGAGGAAGCTGAAGGTGGCTATCTTTGAAGGAGAGGATGTCTATGGTTGAGTTTATTGAATGGAGAGACTTTACTGCTAATGGGCTAGCGAAAGAAGAAAAATTGATGACGACAGTGCTGTCTTTGGAAGGAAAGACTCTAGCATGGTATCAATCGAGAGAACATCACCTAATCAAAACATGAGAAAAAATTAAGGATCGATTGTTAAAGTGTTTTAAAATCACGTGAGAAAGGGATTTGCACGAGCATTTTTTTGCATTGTTTTAAGAAGGGTTTGTCAAGGATTTTAAAGAGAAATTTCAAATGTTATCCAACTATTTGAAAGGGATATCAGAAGCAACATGGGAATGAAACTTCATGAAGGGCTTCAGATCAGAAATTCGAGCAGTGCTTTGGCTATTGAGACTACAAAAATTGGGGGAAACTATGGAATTAGCACAGTTGGTTGAAGATAAAACTACAATGGAACGGTCTTACAGGATCACAACGCAAGTAGAGCAACATACTGAAATGCTAAAACAAAGATACCAAAAACTTAAATAGTACATGAATAATAAAGAATTCATGACCGGGAGTAACATTCAAACGGTTTATAGAGACAGTGATCAAGAGAAACAAGCTAAGGTGTTATATTTTCGGTATGATAAGAAGTTTGCCACAATACATCATTACAAGGATCACACATTGCAAATTCTCACAATGTATGATGAGGAGGCAGGGGATGAAGAAAAAGAGGAGGTTGTGGTGGAGTACCCCCACTTTGATGTGGCAGAAATCTCCTTGAACTCGGTGATGTGGTTAACTTTGAACCACGCGATGAAACTTAGGGGATATTTCAGAGAGCATAATGTAGTTTTGTTGGTAGGTAGCGGGGGTACTCACAACTTCATTTTCACTCAAGTAGTGGAGCAGTTGGGGCTTGTGATGTTTGACACAGGAAGTTTTGGAGTAATGATGGGGACGAGACATGGAGAAGAGCGGGGGGGGGGGTTATAATTTGGGGG